AGATAACAATAATCTAAAATTACCTCTAAAATGGTGAAGCCGTATATGCTATATGCTACTTACAACAACGTGTTTCTGTTTTTTGTTGGCTTCTGTGATCGCATTTCTAAAGTGATCTTCTGCAGGACTTTTCACTGTACAGCTATTCAACAGCCAGAGGTCAGCACTATCTTTGTGATCTGTAAAAAAATCAAACAGATGTTTGGACCAAACCTATAGGACATTTTATGTAAAGAGCATACCTCCTATAGCCACTATATATGAAAATATAGAAGCAGGGTGGTCCACAACCTAAAATTCAAACATGTAAAACTGGGAACTTTAGAGGAGTACTTTAGATGTTATTTGAAATTATGTGCGCGAAGCACACATCACGAGCGCAAAGAGCGAAGACACTTGCGGCCGGGGTCCAGGACCCGCCTTAGGGCCCTGGAAGCTCAGGAGTTTTAGATGCTCTCTGGTGCAATCTGAGCCTTATTTTGGAGCATTTTTGCTCAAAATTTATGACCTATATTTCAAAATAATTTGGGTTGAGTCAAGAGTCATGAGTGATGAGTCATTTTTCATTGTTCAATTTGTATACTAATGGGAATGTAACCAGTCAAATGTTATAAAGCAATGTGCGAAAAATGCAAATAAATATACCATAAGGTGAAACTATATTTCGCTATATTTTATTCGGATTGAGCGCCGATACAAATGTCAACTTGCCAGTGATAGTGTAACCATAGCTAGCCAACTGTCCTGCCATGTACTCTCCATCCGAGTTATTGTGGGTGCAGCCCCAAGTTCTCACCCATATTGTCTGTCTACCTATTAATACATATAATTGATACAAAACGAAATATTCAATTCATTCATATATAATACGCATGCACTGCAGGTATTAACAGGCAGATTTGCAAAATGTTAGGTAAACATGTTTGCTTGGCTACATTAGATTACTGTATACGCCACATTTTTCGCGTACCTGCAGATATTTTTGCGAATTCACTTGACGAACAATTTCGCGAGTGTCTAATTTCGCGGTCGGTGAATTATGAATTATTCGGTATTATTTGGTATGAATTATTCATGTGTTGTTATTTTCGCAGTCGGGGACGCGTTCACAAAATTTGTGAAAATTAAACCACCGCGAAATATACAGCGTATACAGTAATTATTCCTTGTCAATTTATTAATGACTGTATATAGGCAAAGTATATTGACTGTATTATACATTAAGTATATAATGTGTACATTGAGTACACATTGAGTACATTGAGTATAATGACTGTATATTAGGCAAGTAGAGCTAACCTTGATAATGGACATATGTCCATTATCAAGGTTAGCTCTAGCTACTTGCATAGCTCTTTGCCCTGCTCCAAGAATCCTTCCCTCTTCAACAGGCAGTTACGAAGCAAGGAAATGTACGGGTAGCAGGGCTCTCCCTAGCTCTAGAACTATAGCCTTTCGCTATGCCACAGGGCTATAGCACAAACTATGTTGAATATGGGCAATGATACTACTCCCTCTGCTGCCACGAAGAACGCATCACAGAAAAAACTAGGGCAGCCCATTACTCATGGGGGTGTGGGTATAGCACTGGTGCTGATACAAGGTTGCCAGGCAACATATGTTTATGTTTAAAAAGTGCCAGTTCACTCCCTTGAGTAATGGGCTGCCCCGTGCTTTTGCCAGCATTTGGACGGAATTTGCAAGTACTAGTAGGGCTAAGACTTTGATGAATAAATAAATAAATGCATGGTGTAAAGTTGTGAAGTTTTCAAAAAGATAGGTAATTAAACATGCGCGTCTAAACAGAGGAATTGCTCCGACCTGTGATTGGAGGATAAAAATAGAATTCGTGACGTTTCGTTTTCGTTTTGCATACCCCGCCGCATACGCTATTATATATGCTATGACCGGTAGGAACGTGTACTAACTATCATATGGCGCGAACGATTCAAGTTACATTGCTATAAATTCTAGCTATTAGAGACACTTGTTAGCCTTAATCTCTGTGAGTCTTGAGTTTATTGAAGAGCGATTAGCTTAATTAATTAGCAAATATGTACGCGCGGTATCGCTCATACTCGAGTCATAGGCTAAATGCCAAAATGAAAACGAAACGTCACAAATTCTTTTTGATCCTCCAATCACAAGTTGGAGCATTTCCTCAGTTTAAACTAGATGTGTAATTAAGGCTGATAGGGTCTATGTCTCCCTGCGTACTGCCGGAACGTACCCTGGGTACTAGGGGAGAGTATTGCG